AGTGGACTCATAGGTTTAATATGCTGGCATTGGAACACACACACACACACCTCCACTGTATGCCTTCACACAGATATCCACAATGGCATTTAGCTGTGATTCTTTGAGAGCTAGTTGATCAACAGAGAAAGGTGCAAAGTAGTTCTCAAAACTGACCTGTTGGATGTTTTAGCTGATGGACATAGATATTCTGTTTGGAATTCATGGCGGTGGGATATATGAGATACCAGTAGCACAGTCCATTATAAATGACTGAAGTACAAAGGCTATGCGTGGGAGAATGCCATCCATTGTTGCCGTGGTGTTGAGATATTGACATGACCTGTATCAATTGATCACACAAATCAAGGCACAGATGCAGTTAGCTCAAATCGAACACATTGATGAGAATGATGCTTATTCATAAGTCCCATATGTAACCTGTGTACCGAGTACCACCACACCAGGAATCAGGACTTAAATTAAGGAGATGACCCGGGAAACTGTCATAACATCAGCCACCATATATGTCATTGTATCATAATCTTCATTTGAATTTTTTTCGACAAAAATGTGAAGATTAATATATGAATTGGAAATGATAAAAGAAAACAACACTGAGAGCTGGACCAAGGTCGTTTACACCCTATAAACATTCTTGTGAAGTACCTAACAAAAAGGTTTGGCAACAATGGACTTAAACATTCCTGCCTAGCTGATTACTCATAGCACGTTTAAAGATAACATTGGGTTGAGGAAACTCCAGGGCAGCAGCTAAGAGACATTGTTAGTGATATAGAAAGGTTATTTGAAAAATCCTTTGTTTAACCTTCAGTTGTGTCACTGGTGTCCACACGTTTGAAAATTTCATTTGGTTGCGGAGATTCAAGAGCTACAGCCAGTAATTTGTCAGGCACACAGACATTTTCAAATCCAAGGAGAATGTGAGATACCTTCCAAGATTTCCTTTGGAACATTGCATCCAGCTATCTGTGGAATATGTGAAATGCAATCTAGGTGAAATTCATCCTCTTAGTGCAAGTGCAATGATCAGGTATATCTCTGATCTGACCTACAGGCAGAGCAGCTGAGTACACAACAGTGACAATGACAAAAAGAAGCAGCTGTATAGTGATTTTCAAGTTCATGATAAGGGAAGAGAGTCGGAGATTCATCCTGAGCTTCACATATATGTATATAAGTCAGGATTGTCCAATAAAGTACCCAATCATTGTGAAAACTATATTTGGGGGCTCCCATTCTTCTTTTTCCAAGTGCAGCGTGTAATGCTTCTATTTCCAAGTACAGACTGCTTCTATATCCAAGTACAGAGTTTCCCTATCTTTTTTTACAATCTATTTCCAAATATGGAGTGCTTCCATTTCCAAGTACAGAGTGCTTCTATTTCCGAGTACAGAGTACTTCGAGTTTTACTATCTTACAAAAAAATTGCTCAAGTAATTTACAAAACATCGTGAGCTTGGATCTATGTAATATAATCTTCCTGATTCTTTTGAACTGCCTGGAAAACTTCCTGCCAATCATTACACTCATATGTGTCAAGACTCTGAGCTTTTGGTGTAGGTACTGCCACCACAGGGGAAAGATATACATCTGAACGGCAAAGTATCATCTGCCGGAGATGATTAATGCAATGCTGAACCAGATTATAGGGCACAGCCGACATATGATCACTGTGAATGATTTCTTTCCGCACAATATCAAGACATTGCAGTTGATGGAAAAGTGAAAGGGTGAATGGCTGGTGGTCATCCTGCAAGTAGACTATGCCTTCACCAGGATACAATAATCTCCATTCCTCATCTGCTTCGGGAGAATCAAGTTGGTAGTGAGTTGTTTCCTGAAGAGACATCCTGACTTTTTTCAGAGTCAGATTCCATGTTTCCAATTGCGGTGGAGCAGCATATGCATATGTTGCTTTCGAGTCCAATGAGCATAATAGAGATCATTTAAAAACACAATACTCACCATGCGAGATCTCTTGTTTCATCTTGTAAAAATGTATTGAGCTTCTGAACCAAACTATACCACACATTTTGGCTAGAATGATACACCACAGGAACAGAATATACCATGCTGAGAGGTGCATCTGTTGAAGCCAGATACTGATGTGTTCTCCCTTTATGTGGTTCTTCCAGTCGCTCAAATTGGGTTGAGAAAGCAGCAGATGTGTCCTGAGGGTCACCGCACAACTATGCATGGCATTCACTCGGCCAGTGGAACCATGCAATGAAGTATGAGTTGTAATACATCACACTGAATTTGAAGTTGACCTGAGAAAGCAACGAATGAGCACCCAGGTGCACATCAACGGAGCTACAGTTGGGCCGAGAATCCCAGATGAAGCGCATAAATGATCCACCAACTATCACGGTGGTTAGTTCAATAAGTTATCGGATAACGATCCTAGCCTTACGGAACAACGTTGTGGCCGGACTCATATCCTGATTTTATTAGCTGTACTTGAGAGGAGGATCTCGGGAGAATGTGATGAGCTTTGTTCCAGACATATTGATCATCATGTAGTAATGACAAGTTTGCACACTCAATTCGGAGGCAGGTCAGATAAAAATGAACAAATCTTTATCCTGAGCCCCCATAAACACGTTCTCCTCTCATCAGTGTCCTATCCATAGGCTCATTAAGAATATGTCAGGCAGCACTATAGATCTTCCTCTGGAAAGATCACTCTATGTAGGTAATTTCATGCGAGGTATTCTATACGGTTCGTGAGTTGTTTTCACAATTTCTTTCCAAGTTCTTTAACAGTGGTATGAAGGAATTGAGCTTTTCACTTTTGCCCAAGCTGTTCACACCATCCTGAATCAACCACCACAGACAAACCATCGGGGGCAAACATTCTATATTTATTATGGCGCTGTACTGATCACAATGGTCACAATTGCTGTTATCACTGACGCACTCTGGGGGGAGTTCATGTGGATTGATCACCGTGATGTCTCTGGCGGGCCATTGGCTTATTTTGAGGCCACAACATCAATGTGGATGAATGTTCTTGGATCTGCGGCAGATGCAACTGCAAATATTATGGGTGATGGATTATTGGTATGATTTCCTTCTCTAAACAAAACATACTGCTCACTATGCTGTACACATTAGCTGTATCGCTGTTACATGATTTGGGGCTCAAATTTGTGGGTTGTAGTATTACCATGCTGTATATACTTAGCTTCATCTGGCAAGTTCCATGTTCTTCTGGCTGAGTCACTTCTGAAACCACTTCCATTAGTCCTGGTTGTAATCACTGTGGTTGAAAGTGCTCTTCCAGGTGCATTTTTGCTCAATGGAACGGCAGCTAATTTTGGAGTCCCCTGGGTGTCACTCTCTGTTAGCCTCAATGTCATTCTTACAGCAATGATATGTGGAAGACTATTGATGATGCGACGTATTGTGCGTTCATCATTGTCATTTGAACTAGGGAACACATATACAAGCATCATGGCAATTCTGGTTGAATCAGCATTACCATTCAGTGTAGTTGGGGTAGGCTTTGTAATAACTTATGCAAAGAATAGCCCAACGTCCGATGCCTTTGCATATGTTTGGGGGATGTTTTGTGTGAGTGAAACCATTTAACATTTCATTCAAATGATCTCAAATTGATTAGTCTCTTTCCCCACAATTGATCATTTTGAGGGTTGCAATGGGTCGGGGATGGTCAAGAGATACTGTTCAAGAAGTCAGCAGACAGATAGTGTTTGCACACTCTCAGAGCATTGCAGAGCATGGGGAATCTCAGAGCACTCAAGTTGGAATGACCATACTCCATGATCGAAGCTCAAGTAGATCATTAAGGGAGTTGAAGACAGACATCAATTCAGCTTAGTGCAAGAGTTGGAGTTGACTGGGGGCCTATGAAATCTCCTCTGATAGAAAACTCCATGTTCAGAGTGTTATGCTCCAAGTGTTGTGCAGGTAGAGTTGGATAAGTAGGGATGATGAAAATGAAGAAAGTATTCGAAACAAGGGAAACTATACCAAAACCGGACTTACTTCCAGCTGTGTGAAGTAATTCCCCAGTTATTCTGAAATGTAGTTTGGCTAGGGACTTGGCCCCACGCTCACCCATGGATGGAGAAGGCCCAAACCTCCTAAACAAAGCCAGAGCTCCATCTCAGGGTCTTCACATCTATCGAAGGGAGCTGAATCCCCAAATAGAGCAGAAGCTTATAATGTAATCAAAGTCTATTGCGATGTGGACTCATCCCGAGTCACTGACTGGGCCCGGCGTTGTTTGATGAGAGTCGAACAAACAAGCGGGGTGAACAGCCGACTGGAATACCATTACCGTAGCATAGTGCAGTGAAACTTTTTTCGCACGCAATTAGTCCAACTTTGAGCTTTGAAAATTCAGAATTTCATAGCGCACTTCAAACGAGCAGAGTCAGTCAGAACCTTGTCGTTCTCCGATTTCTGATACCTTTTTAATTGGACTTGCTGACACACAACTAGTCCTTTCCCATGCCATTCGCTCCTCTCACTGAAATTGACCCGGAAAAGGTGAGAGAAGCAACTCAACTTGTGTGTGAAGTCTTTGGAGTACCCTCTCTACGTGACTTCCAGGAGCAAGCTGGCCATAACACACTTACCATCTTTGATGTTCTGACTGGTGGTGGAAAAACACTTGCTTTCTACTACTCCCTTTCTACCACTGGAGTCAAAATACTAGTGACAGCAAGAACCAGAAGATCATCCTCATCCACAGTCCACTCATGGGTCTCATGGAGTCCCAGGCCAAATTCATGACAGACAGAGGTATTCTGGCAGTAGCATGTGACAATTGGGCCACTAATTCTTCAGCTTTGCCAAATATTGATATTTCTCTTTCACATAAAGAGAGAAGAGAGAGGAAGCAATGCTGCTAGGTGGAGGATATGAACTGAAGAAAGCCAAGCATCAAACACTGAATGGCAAAGGAGGACCATCAAACTCTCTAATCAAAAAAACAGGATACAATCCCCGAGTGAAACTATTGTATCTACATTGAGAGGGAATTGAACCCCCGGCGGGTCGAGCGACGTTGGCTCATGGCAACGACCCAGGTTACCACTACCCCATTGATGCTCTTCCTCCTCAATTATGCGGGTATTGATTGTATGGAAACACCTACCGAATCGACGAGATGGGAAGGGGAGAAGGGAAAGAAGGTTTATGATTTTCCTTGGAACATCGAGTGAGAAATGAGGAGAGGGCGGGATGCAGGGGAGGAAAGAAAGCTGAAGGAAGATGTAGGAGGGAGCAGGGGAAGGGGGGATAGTGAATATGCGTGTTGACAGAGGGACCACAAGAAGACGTAGAAGATTAGGGGTATAGAGGGAAGCCGATGGATGGAGACTGACGGTGGAGGACGAACAATGGATATTTTGAATTTCGAATTTCGGAGAAGGATGGCTGTACTGGAGAATTGCGTCGAGGGAACGTAGTAAGGATGACGAAAAGCATGTGAACTCGGAATATTAAATTTATTGGCCTTTACATCCTTCCCCGCTACTTCCCCTTAGGCACACTTTCTGTGTGTAGCGATATGATGTATTTACTCAATGCTTCCCTAATACATCTCCAGATCTCTCCCAAATAAGTACTCCCCTACGCTTGATTCAGGTTTGGAAGCAAATCTTCGTACCGTTGTCGTCAGTGGCGTCTATTGTTCAGTATTCAGTATTCAGTATACACAGTACACCTCCGTCGCGGTAATCATTGTTGCTGTTGAGTCTTCAGCTTTACTGTATGTGGTAGTCATTGATTGCGATGAGGGTTCGAGATTCATTGAGAGAGGGGGTTGTTGCCCGTAGACGTTGTATGAGATCAAAAGACATGGGAGGATCGAAGATCAGAATAGTGAAAGGGGAAGTACATTAATTGACACATGGCGAGTAAGTGGAGGGGGGATTGTGAGGCATCGCGCATTGTGAGTAAAATCTTGGTAGGGTTGAATAGCACAGAATACGGAGAACGACGATATAAGGGGAAGATTGAGCGAAGCCGACGAAGTTGAGGGGAAACGTTCCAAATCGGAATAATGCCAAAAACATTTCTTAGCGCCTTTGGTAATGGTTTTGGCCATTTTCCTTCGAGGTGAATGAGAGGGACTAAGTGCCATTGAAGAGGAAAGGAGGAAAGTGGTTCCGAGGGATTTACGTACGGTGAAGAATGGAATGTTAGAATACAAAAAGTACAGGGAGGTTGAGACGAGGTTGAATGGCGAATTGGGATGTTGGGAGACGAAATCGTTAGCTCACCGGCATCTACAAAATGACTCTAACAGCACTTCTCGAGAGAGAGTATTTCCTTCCTTCCCCTGCCACTTCTCCCCTGGGTGGTTCGTTCGGGCCGGAAGGGGTTGAAGGTGAAAACATGCGGGTGACTGCGAGTGAGCTAACGATTCGCATGAAGAAGCCTCACAACATACGCAAAAGAATATATTTTCCCACGACGGTGCCCTGATATACCTCAATATCTCTCCCGAATACTCCATTCTTGTCGAAACACTGTTATCCGTGGCGTCCTTTGTTCGGTATTCGCGGTACAGCCCCGTCACATCCTCCTTCAAGGTTCCCCGTCCAATATAGCACATACACGAAGAGTCTGGAAGCGAGCGTTGACAGTGTGTATAATGGCGAGTCGATGTTTGGGTGGACAATAAGTTTGAATTTGGGAGGTAGATTACGCAGTGCAGGACGAGGCGGCGAATCAAGTAGGAGACCCTAGGACGTGTAGAAAAGTGTTGAGTTCATAACGATACGGAGAGAAAAGATCGTTGATAATCGATAAATAGATGTTTTCCGACTGCGCTAGAATTTATCCTAGTGTCACAGAGTTTGCGACAGCTCTTCCGTTTCATCGCGTCGTAAATTTGAAACCTGGAGACCAAATTTAGTGTTAAAGGTGTGTATGTGTGGGGGATGAAGCGAGGCAATGAAGTTGATGATTTGTGCAGAAGATGACTGGGGCTGGGGAAGAAAATGTGACACATGTCACGTTCCATCCAGTAGATGCGCTGGCGCCTATCTTCTTGTCGCCGTTCGTCTACTCATGACTCGGCTTGTTTCAATGATTCATCCACTTTGCATGACTATTAACTGTTGGAAGCTGTCGGAACTTTGCCTCCTTGCCATTGTATTCAGGATACACTAGGCTTGTGTCTATTGCATGGAACATTACATGATGCTTCAAAAACATATATAAAGTCATTCGGTATGATATTATCACGGAGGTAGGTTTTATCCTTAGCTCAGTTGATACTTCCCCTTTTCCAGGTCGTTGAAGAGGTCTAACCGTTTGTGATGTAATAAATCAACCATACTAGCTGCGGTGCAGTATCTCGGCCTCGGAACCAGATGGGAAGTCCTTGGAACTGTAGTACAATCCCAACGAGGCATGACTGTCCTAGTACATCGGATTCGGACTCGGGGAGATTTGGCTGAACGATGGGTAAGATTGTAGGGCTCGTAGGTACCTCATCTTTTCAGTCATTCAAACATGACTTATTCATGATTCATGATTCAGCCTCTATAAAAGAAACATGTTATCGCTTTTTATCATCTGGAAACTATTTTCACCGACCTACTATCATTATGGGACTTGTATCCTTCCCATCCTCTACGGAGTGGCAGTCTTTGCCAGTCAGTTTTGTGGTCTTGATGCTGACTTCGAGCCTCTTTATTTGGTACCACCGCAATTATCATCAAGGATCTAACCTCCCTCTTCCTCCTGGCCCGAAGAAACTTCCGTTCATTGGAAATGCTCTTGTACGTGATGATCGATGGTTTCTCACTGTTCACAGCTAGACAGCATCAACACTGAATAACACTACCTGATATCCTTTGTCACAGGATATGCCACCTACTGATCAACACATCAAGTTTAGTCAATGGGGTGAACAATATAGTCAGTGCAAAATATCGTTCCTTGCTGATCAGTATCTGACCCACATACATACAGATTCGGATATCCTTCACCTCCGAGTTATGGGAATGGATTATATTGTATTAAACTCATGGGATGCGGTTATTGATTTATTGGATAAGAGATCTGGGATTTACTCAAGCAGGTATCGTGTAGCATTGTTTGTTTCTGCTATATTTGAGAAACCTTGACCTGAGTGTTTGAATTTTGTACTAGGCCCCATGCTACAATGCTCCAAGATCTGTGAGTAGCATTTATTTGATTATGAGTTGAGCTAAGGCTCGAGTAATCTTGACCTTCCCAAACCAGTATAGGGTAAATATTTTCCCTGTCTCTATTCAAGTTTTGAACCAACAACATCATGTTGCACCACAGCTGGGAGGGAGATCTTGGTTTGATGTGTTACGGAAAATTATTCAATGAACACAAAAAACTGTTTCATCAAGGTCAGTTTTTGATATGTTTTCTGTGTCTTTGGTTGTTTGATGAACAATTCATAGAATTCCATCCATCCAATTCTTCCTTACACCGTCCACATGAAAAGAAAGCCTTGGGTGTGTTTCTGAATAGTCTGATTGATACACCAAAGGAATGGGAGAGCAATATCAAGCAGTGAGTGGTCAACTATCATGTCATTTCTTTCTCTTCTTTTTCTTCTAAAAAATTACATGTAAAAATGACACTATCCCTTTTACCAGGATGATAGGTGCAATTATAATTGGTGTAGCATATGGTGTTCAGGTCCAACCAAAGAATGATCCAAATATTGATGCTGCTGCAAGGATGTATGGTGTTTTGAATACAGTTCTCCTACCTGGAGCATTTTTGGTGGTCAGTGCTCAATGCTCATTCTTTTCCTTACCTTGTGCCAAGTTCCTTTCTCATTTTGTCTGATTTATTTACATTTTATTTATCATCTTATTGTTAGGATACACTCCCAATTCTCCAATACATCCCATCTTGGTTTCCCGGGGCATCCTTCAAGCGAAAAGCCAGAGCTTGGTATGGAGTCCGCAAGGAAACAGTTTTGCCTCCATATATGCAGGTGAAACAGGCAATGGTGAGTGAAATAGCAAAAAGTAAAACTTCTTTTCTGTGCAGTCAATGTTTTTGAATATTTTTGGTATTTTATACTCATTCATCATCATCTGTGTAGATCAATGGAACAGCCAATGACAGCTTCACCCTTCGATGCCTAACAAATGGTGAAAACATGGTTGACCCTCGTGTTGACCATCTCTCTGAAGAGGAAGAAATGATTATGCAAACTGCTGGGACATTATATGAAGGTATGTATGTATTCCATGATCAATACTATTTTCACATTTACTATGTCTTCTCTTCAATTCTCACCTGAATCCCAGCTGGCGCAGACACCGGGAAAACAGCTCTCCGGACCTTCATTCTTGCAATGACTTGTTTCCCCAAAGCACAGCGAGATGCTCAAGGGGAGATAGATTGTGTGATTGGTCAAGAGCGGTTGCCAGATTATGAGGATATTGTAGATGACAGTAATGCATCTGTCTCCTTGCCGTATGTAAGAGCTGTGGTTTTGGAATGTTTCAGGTATGGTGTGCTGGAAACCATCATCTAAATTGAATTGATAATATAACAACAACTTGCTTTTAGATGGCAGACTGTTGTTCCATTAGGTGAGTACCTGTACTCAGCCCCCAAGTATTCAACCTGAGACCAGGTGTTCACCATATGACTGTTGATATCATATAGCTGTCCCCCACCTTGTTGATACAGAAGACACATACAGAGGGCTTCACATCCCAAAGGGTGCAACAATACTGCCTAATGTCTGGTATGTACATTCATCATTTACTGACAAGAGACAGATATTCAAAACAGAGCTGTATCTGACTGACTGGATATACTTAGGGCAATACTTCGAGATGAGAAAAGATACGGTCCTACTGCACATACATTTGATCCGGAACGATGGCTTCTCGAGAATGATAACAGTGCCACAGGAGGGTCTTGATGGAAACTCAATCCCGACATGATGGTACATGATCCAATCCCAATGAGTTTTGGGTTTGGGAGGAGGTGAGTTGTTTATCTATTCAAGCTCTGAAGGACAAATCAAATATAGATGGATGGATAGACAATGTGGTTAATGATTTGAATTTGTTTTAGGGCATGTCCTGGGA